TTTTGGCAGCAAGAATAGAGGAAAGTTTCAGCACTGAAGGATTTGACATCGGGGTGGTCCTCATGTATGAATCACAAAAAGTTCAGCAAGTAATAGGGAAGGCAAATGCACTATTTGCCTTTATTTCAAAGGGAGTACAGCAAAAATGTAAGTAAGTCTTGCTAAAACGATAGAAGACACAAGTCAGACCACAGCTAGAATACTATGAACAGTTTTAGTCCCCTTATCTAAGGAAAGATATATTGGCATTGGAGGCAATCCAGAGAAAATTCAGTTGATTAATTCCAATTATGCAGGGACCATCTTATGAGGAGAAGTTGAACAGGTTGGGCTTGTGTTCATTGGAGTTTAGAAGACAGGAAATCTTACAGAAACATTCAAGATTCTTGGGGTGGATGCAGTAAGATTATTTCCCCTTGTGGAAGAGTCTAGGACTAGAGGACATAATCTTACAGTAAGGGGTCACCCTGTTAGGACAAAGATGGGCATAATTGTTTTCTCTGAAAGTTGTCAATCTGTAGAATTCAGATTGAATTCTGTCACTGCAGAGGGCTATTGAGGCCTGGTCATTAGATATATTCAAAGCTGAGATAGACAGATTTTAAATAAGTAAGAGAATCAAGGGTCACAGGACAAGGCAAGAAAGTGGATTTGAGTATTATCAGATCGACCATGATTTAATTGAATGGCTGAACGTACTTGCCAAATAGCCCTTTATCTTGTGGTCCCACTCATTCTATTCGCAGGAACAGATCTGCCCTGTGCTCTTGTTATTTCCTCCCTGATTGCCTAGCACTGCTCTGACACAGTTTTATCTGCAAGTGGCTGCTCCCGGTCCACTTGGGTTAAATCATACATTAAATCATGTATTAAACTGAACTATTTTCTAGAGCAGACACTGTGAACTGAATGGTCTCCTCTGCTATTTCATTCTACAATTCTATCTTTTCATTCCTACTTTGTTTTCCTGTTACACCAGGACTGAAGAATACTGCCTTAAATACAATGTAATCAGAGTCATAGACTCATCGAGTCATACAGCAAGGAAACAGACCCTTCTGTCCAACTAGTCCATGCTAATCATGTTTTTTCTTGTTTTTTCAATGTTGTAACTGTATCTGCACCCACCACTTCCCCTGGCAGTTCATTCCACATACGAACTACTCTCTATGTAAAAAAGCTGCCCCATGTCCTTTTAAATCTTTCCTCTCTCACCTTAAAAATATGCCCCCTAGTTTTGATCTCCCCTACCTTGGGAAAAGACCCTTGCTATTCACTTTATCTATGCCCCTTACGATTTTATAAACCTCTATAAGGTCACTCCTTAACGTCCTACGCCACAGTGAAAAATATCCCAGCCTATCTTTATAACTCAAACCCTCAATTCACAGCAACATCCTCATAAATCTTTTCTGAACCCTCTCCAATTTAATAACATCCTTCCTGTAGGAGAGCAATCAGAACTATATACAGTACTACAGAAGAGGCCTCACCAGCATCCTGTACAACCTCAACAAGTCATCCCAACTCCTACATTTAAAGGTCTGAGCAATGAAGGCAAGCATACTGAATGCCTTCTTAACTACCCTGTCAATATGTGATGCAAATGTCAAAGAATTCTATACCTGAACTCCTAGGGCCTAGGTCTCTCTGTTCTACAACTGTACTCAGGTCTGCCCTTGTTTGTTTTACTAAATGCAATACCCCACATTTATCAAAATTAAACCCCATCTGCCACGCCTCAGCCCATTGACCCAATTGATCAAGATCTCTTTGTAATCTTAGATAACCTTCTTCACTGTCCACTATACCACCAATTTTTGTGTCAACTGCAAATTTACTAACTATGCCTCCTAAATTCTCATCCAAATCATTTATATAAATGACAAACAAATTGTTTACTTTTTTTTATAATGGTAATGTATAGGTTTCAGTCAACATCTTAATTGCCAAAGATCAGTTAAGCTGTATGTCAAAGTATTTTGTAATTCTAATTACAGATCCTGGAGGTGTATTTTCATTATTAAACATACTTATAAAGATATCAGTGATCATTAAAAGATTGAGACACAGTTATTATAGTTTTTCCAATGGATTTTTAATATCAAACTTTAAATATTAAATAAAAACAGTGAGCGATAAAGAAAGACAAGCGGTTCTTATAGTATTTATGGATAGAGAAATAGCATTAATGTTTTAATTTCAATGTGACTGTTTTCTGGAAATTTTATTTAATTGCATGATATTAAAATGGAATGACAAGAAATAAACTATTATCAATTAGGAACTGGTAATGGTATTAACTTTGCTTCTTTCTGACAATCAGCATACTTTGGTGTGCTTTGGCTTACACATAAGCACAAAATCAGGGCTAATACTCCAGTGCTGGACCAAGAAGATCAGAAGTCCTGTTTTCAGATGCGATACTAAACTGCGACACAAAATTCTGACCAACATATATTGCTCAACTAATAGTCCCAGCAACAAATCAACAGGCCATTTTGTCTTACTGCTGTTTAAGAGACTGAGTACTGTGCAATTTGACTGCTGTGCTTGCCTGCAAAACAACAATAAAAAGCATGTAGAAATCTACTTTTCATTTTTCATACTAGTTGTTACCAGATTCCTTTTTATTCCTAAAAGCATCACTTTTGAATGTCTATCAATTGTACAACATGATCATATAGTATTTTCTCCTCTTTTTAAAGGTTCAAACTGTAACAGAGTGTTGCATGATAACCAGCTAACTTTATGTGAATCTAGACAGTGGGTGCCCTTTAAATTACATTTCAGCCCAATCAAGCCTGAATTGCACAGTTTCCAGGTCATTGAAAATCCCTCTGCGTAATTCATCCTCTTAAGCATGGGATCATTGAGTTCAATAGTAGAACCTACTAACACCCCAGCTGAGATCAGCTAACTCATCACAAATCAGGGATCAAACCCAAGAGCTTTCATGCTTTCTTTGATTATTCCATCATGTGCAATAATGCACTGAGACAGCAGTGGCATTTAGATCAATCTAATTCCTTCCAAATACAATACCTTTTATGCAATTTTGAATCTTATATTTAAAAATTATTAACATTAATCTTAAAAATTTTACTTAGCTGTTTTTAAGAAAGTGGTTCAGAACCAAACGGTTGTTAAAGGCTCTTCTTTCTCTCGTAGAAAAAAATCACAATGAAATCCTGGCAGCAAAATATGCTATGAATCAAGGAAGTGATTGACTGAAGAAGAGTGACTGCCCAAATACCTTTGTGTTCTGTTTCATGACTGCACCAAAGAGCTAGAGCTGTTATGAATAGAGATAAAAGTCATTTTCAAAGTTAAATCTTCAAATACAGATTCACTTTCTTTTTGTTGCATTCTTAAAGCACTGACATTGCAATTCCTCATCAGATCAACTGACTCAGAATCCATCCAAAATATAGTTGGAAATATTTAAATAGATTGTTAATATCCTTGTATAACTCATAAACTTGCTTTCAATGCCCTCCAATAGTATACTATTCCAACGATTTCATGAACCTTTCCTTTCGTGTATCCAAACTAGATTCCTTGAAATGGGTTGTCTTCATCTATGTTTTCTTGCTTTTATAACAGGCTACTAAAGACAGAATAAATGGAACATTACTTCTCTTGCATTGTTGCCAAATCACATTGCTCCTGGATCTATAGGTGTGAAGCTGGAAAAGCACAGCAGGTCAGACAGCATCCGAGGAGCAGCTAAGTCAACATTTCAGGCCGAAACCCTTCGTCCTGATGAAGAATTTTGGCCCGAAACATTGAATTACCTGCTTCTTGGATGCTGTCTGACCTGCTGTGCTTTTCCAGCCTCATACCTATAGACTCTGGCTTCCAGCACCTGCAGTCCTATTATCTCCAAGTCACATCGCACCTTGCTTTCTCTAACAGTCTCTTCGAGTTTTATCCATCTCTGCCCACTACAAACTTTAGATTATCTTAGCCATGCTCTTATCAACAACATAACTTGTAGGACTCACCTATATTTTTCCCAAACTCCACTAATCCCTTCATGAACAAACAAATTGCTTTCAAGATTTTTGCCAACATCTTCAAGTCTGAACTGATCTCGACACATTCTATTTGGTCATCTCTACAGGAGACTCATATCTCCTGGCACACCGTCCACATTCAGACACAAATTTACCTTCATTTCACTCTGCTGTCTGTAACCACTGTTATAACCACATGCTTCTGCCCGTTTGAAAGCCCTCTCTATACACAATCCTCAAAATGCTCTCTCTTTCTCTCAAAAGTCCTCGAAAAGCTTTTAGTTCAGCTATGTTTTTGGCTATCTACCTTTTCCTTCCTTCTGAGCACTTTTCCCTTTTACATGGTGTCTATTTTCCTTTGCTTCGAAAACTTTTTTTTAGACATGAGAACCGTTATTACAAATCTTGCAACTTTTTATACTCATAATTCAGAAATGCTACACTTACAATGTTACCGTGGCAACTGATATGATTGTAAAAGTATTCAGACAGATAGACATTATTTTGCCCTTTTCTCAACCAATTGTGAGGGCGGGTTTGTTAGATGGAGACTAACATGTCATCTCCACTGTTGAGATGACCCACCTGATCGTATTCCAATCAGATTAAGAGCCTATAGGTAAGGCAGGGCAAGTTTCTAAGCCAGTTGCAGGCCTATGGGGGGGTGGGGAGCGCGTCAGTATGGCCAGAGGCAAAGGATTTGGATTCAAAGGAGTTCCTCTAGCCTCCTATTCATCCATCTAATTGCCCCCAAATTGGGGCATTTAGAGTCCTCTTCACACTCCCAATTGAGCAGACAGGTCACCCTGGTTTTCCAGCTGGGAAACTAAGCAGATTTCTCACTCACAAGTATACAAACAGGTATTCCATATTGGTTACAAGCATCCTTCTATCTATTTTATCACATAATTTGCTTAATTTTTTTCACAAAGATTATGAAAAAGTGTCAGTAATTAAAATGAAAGACTTTCTTGTTTACAGGCACAGCAATGATCAGGACGTTCTGTTTGACCAGATACTGATGGGTCATCAGGAATTTCCATCACCATATTGGGATAATATTTCTGACTCTGCAAAAGTGAGTATCTGCCAATATTAGCCAGAAATCCGTTAACGTGAAGAACTTGCATGCACCCTAAATGTTTAATGATGCCTTATTGAGATGGTAGTGCCTGTTGTTTGAAACATAGATTTATGGAGTCCCATATGGGGCAAAAACAATTCTTTGCCTAACCACACTTTTCAGGAAAGTTATATTAGATGTTATATTGACGATGGAATTAGTGAATGGCTGTTGGAAGTATGCATAGCATGACTATTTGACTCCAAAAATTTCAAACCCAATGCTAGAAGGACCCCCACTATTGGACTTTAAAGAGATCATCTGTCACTGGTGGCTCAGTGGTTAGCATTGCTGCCTCACAAAGCCAGGGACCTGGGTTCTATTCCACCCTTCGGCAACTGTCTGTGTGGAGTTTACACATTATCCCCGTGTCTATGTGGGTTTCCTCCCACAATCAAGTCCACACGACCCTCTGAAAAGCATTCCATGCAGACCTGCCCCCCTACCCCATCCTTGTAATGCTGCTTTTCCCATGACCAATCTGTCTAACCTACACATCCCTAGACAGTATGGATAATTTAGCATGGTCAATGCACCTAACCTGCACATTGTTGGACTGAGGGAGCCACTGTGCCACCCCTAACTATTTGCTCTTGACATGAAGAAGCTCCCACTGGACTTTTTACTTGATTTTCCCAAGTTTCTTTCGATGATCCACATCATTCATGGATGCGGAGGAGTCCACCCATAGTGTGACTTCACCATCATTGTCTTCTTGTTGTTTATCCATTGCCGTCTAGGCTGCATTCTTGAATCTCTGAAAGGAAAAATGCAAAAACAGTAAGATTGTATTATGAAGAGGGGCAAGAGTAGGAGATACATTCTTTCAACCACAAGCTGCTTGTAAAATGAGAAATGTATGTGATACAAGGAGGAAAATTAGGCACGATGACACTGTCAGTAAATTCATCCCCTCCCATGGTCATAGCCTCGGTAATCAGCATCCCAATCATAGCCAGCATAGGGCTTAGGACAAAAGGCATATCTCTCCCTCTCTGGTTAGCTGCTACTACTTCTGATTGCATATCACTCTGTACTGTCAGAGAGAGGGAAGTGTGTCAATGGCTTTGTACATTTTGTTTTGATGTGGCTGCCATGGTTCAATACTAGGCAGTGTGCACAAACTGTGATGTGGGTGTGAGGCTTGCAGCAGTGCAAGGTGTATGAGGGTGTGGTGAGCCATAGGAATGTTCCTGATTGATGGTAATTGTTAGTAGATTAATGATGATGTGCAGTGCAAGGAACACTCTACCTCAAAGTAATGGAGCTGTTTGTAGGCATTCACAACAATCAAGAGCACAGTTAAATTGCTGCAAGGCAACCATCAGAATGGGCTTGCCACTAACCTTTTAGTTGGGACTTTGGAGTTATGGGGGTGAAGACAGCTCATTGTAAATGTCAGCCCAATGTTCCTGTTAACGTATCTTTACCCTTAGATGCTTGGGTAGAACTAGACAGTAAACTTCACCCAAGTTTGATTCTTCACTGCATTAAAAGATTGATTGTTAAGGGTGTGGTCCATAATCTGGCAAATTATGTATAGTTTATGAGAGGAAAAAGTTTGATCACTTGAGAGGAGATTCCTTCATTCCACATTTTTATATTCTCTTGTACAATACTACTCTTAACATTCCTTGAAGGCACTGACTTACACAGTCTAATTGCGTTCCTTTCCACTACATTAGAGTACTTTGAAACTGGGCAATGCATGGATGCACTTTATTTGGATACCAATACAGAATGCTGCTGAGTGATAACTCAGCTGAGTTACAGTCTCAGCAAATCGACTGCAGGAGGCCAGGTGTCTCTGTATACGGGCAGAAGGAACAATCGGTTGGCAAATCTTCATTGGGCTGTTCTTGTGTCACTATCAATTCTAATCCAGGGAGCATTTGAATACATCTGTAGAAAGCACTGATCTTCTCATTGTTACAATGCTGCAGTCTGACAATATGAATGCAGCTTCCCTTTGCACTCAGCAAACATAGATGGTACTGCAGTTATTGGTAAAATATAAAATTAGAATATATGATTTGTTTTGAAAACTGCTGAAGGGGACTTTCTCACTACAGCAACTTAAAGGACAAGTATATTCCCTACCCAATTACTGCATTTGAAAGTGATTATTATTGTGGAAGAATTTTACATTACTTCTTACACAGAACTTTTCTATAATACTGCAATACTTTAATAATTATAGAATAATTCAATGTATAATTCATTGATTTAAGTGAGTGCAGAGAGTTTGGAGAGTATGTGGATAATATTGGTTGTTTTAATGCTATCATAGATGATTACTGATCCCATGAGAGGGATGACACTGATGGGGTCATAAATCAATAATTAATTTAGTTAAGCTTATTTACCTGGATACAATTTCTGGACTTCCCTTTGGCCTGACTCAATTTATATGGTGATGTCTGAAATGTTTGTATGTAATGAAGGACAGGATGCAACTGCACCACAATAGCTGTAGCTATAATTAGTATAATATTCTGCCATTTGTAATTATATCAATTTTGGCTAGTTGAAATGAGTGCATTTGGAATAATATTTCATGTCTAGCAAACAGGATAAAAGAATTTTTCATTGACTCAGCAAAATATATTAAATCATAATTAGAAGTAGTCAAGAGAGCCAGACAAATATTTCAATTAACTTAAAATCACACAAAGTAATAACTTACTAATGACTTTTACATCAATTTAACTTAAAATTAGAACTATTAAATTAAGGTATTAGGGTTATATGGTGCTTGTGGCGGCCTAATTATTTTGCCAGACAGATGACTCATCTAAGACAGTAACAAAGTCTGGACAGAATGTTGGCCTTCGTTTTTTCAGAATACAAAAAACACAGTAGTATATTCCCACTACCTTTGAATCAGATCCCAAATAAGTGTGACAGGGTCCTCACCTTGTCCGCTTCTCTTAGTGATACTGACTGCCTATCACAGGGGCGTTATCACACCTGCTCCTTTGTGGATGCTGACTGCCTGTCACAGTGTTCTCCCCTCACCTGCTTCTCTTAGTGATACTGACTGCCTGTCACAAGGTTCTCACCGTGCCCATGGCTCTCAAGACCATTCAGTCTTGGGCTGGTAATGACAAGTAACACCCTTGTCATGCAGGTGCTAGGCAGTGATCATATTTCCTTGATGTTCAATAGAATTAAGATCATAAGACCAAAAGAAGTAGGAGCAGGTGTAGGCCATTTCAACTTTCAAGTATGCTCCACTATTAAACAGGGTTATGGCTGATCCAACATTCTTCATCTATTTTTACCATGACACTTGATTTCCATTGCTTAATTCCCCCACTATTAATATCCTGGGGATCACTGTTGACCAGAAATTGAACTGACCAGCAATATAAACACCGTGGCTAGAAGAACAGGTTATTCTGCCATGAGTAGCTCACTTCCTGACTCCCCAAAGCCAGCCCAACATCTTTAACACACAAGACAGGAGTGTGATGGAAAAGTCTTCCCTTGCTGAATGGGTGCAGCTCAATAACACGATTGAGAACAAAGCAGTCCATTTGATTGGCATCCCAGCCATGACGTACAACACCCACTTCCTTCACCACTGACGCATTGTGGAAATAAGGAGTACCATCTGTAAGATTCATTGTGATAACTCACCAAATCATCTCCAACATCACCTTCTAAATCATTGACCTGTATTGTCCCAAAGGTCAGGGAAGCAGCTGCATAGCCATGCAACCAGTTGCAAGTTTCCCACCAAGCCACGCACCCTCGGTTAGACCGACATTGCTGTTCCTTTAGTATTGCTGGTAAAAATCCTAAGAGCGTGGTCAGTGGGTGTACCAACATCCCATAGACAAAACAGCTCAGAAGGCAGCTCTTGGTTACCTTAACCAGAGCAATTCAGAATGGAAAAGAAATGTTGGGTGCCGTGTCCTGTGGACAAATTTTGAAACAAAAGTACAGTGCAGCATAAGCCAGCCACACATATGTAGAGTAGCTTAGATTTTAAGAAATGATCTATAATCATCTACAGAATGATTGACTGTTCTGGTGAATGTTCCAGAATTGTTGGAGAAATATTGACAATTAAAAATTCTGAGTAGCATAACCTTAAAATTTCTCCGAAATTGAATGCATTGGGAGGGTTGAAACCCTTAAAGTAATCCTAAGTTTTGAATAACAGTATAATAGATTCTCTAACAGGTAGAGAATAAACGTACTGTTAAATTTATGTGAGGAAGTTTAGAAAATGTAATGCCCTTTACATGATATTTTTAAAAAGCTTCTGCATGCTATGCCATTTAAAACCAAATAGATAAATATTCGTGAAAAGGACTGAGATATTTTCACTAGTTAAATTGTATGTCTATGAAAAAGTGAAGTTATATTAATAAAAGGATCATTGAACATGCTTCCCGACACAAGTACACAAGTGAAAAATTAGGAAGATTGGCAATTAGTTCTGGCTATTAACACAGTGTGCCCAAAGCAGCACTAAATAGTGCGGTCATTCACCTGAGAAGTAAAAAAAAACTATAATTTATTATATCTAATTAGAACAATGTGGATTTTGAATTAGTTTACTGTTATGCATGAACAGCAAATAATAATTTACTAAATGTTTCCCCTTTTGGTCTAAGTGAATAAATATCCTTCAACTCTACCCCTGCATTCAAATAATTATTCCTTTTATTTTATAGGAGCTTATCACCATGATGCTGCAGGTTGATATAGAGCAGCGATATTCTGCGCAGCAGTTGTTGGACCACCCCTGGGTGAATGTAAGTCTTATTTAATGAATGGTGTACTTCAGACCTCTGGAACATATTACTGATGACTTTAGCAGAATGTTTTATTTTTAGGCTTCTTATTGGTTTGTACAATTCTTTCATCTCTATAATTGGTTTAACACATTTTTGCAGATCATCTGCGGTATTGAATGTGTGGCTAGGCTATTGTGTTAAGCATTGTCCCCCAGAAATACTGCAAATGTAAAGTGAAGCAAAAATATGTACACACAGTGAAAAAAGTTGGGGAAAGCATGGAGTTGTATTCATTCAAATTCAGCTGGTACACAATGCTGGGATTAAAGTAGTGTTTCCTCATCTTACTGTACATTTATTCAGGCAGTTGTAAACGTATTTATTATTATTGCATTTCTATCATTAAAAATCCAATTAAAATACATAATGGAAAATTGTATTTCTGGCAAATTGTGCAACTCTACTCGTGGACAGAAATGTGTAACTGTACTTGTTCAGAGTGTTCGTATTAAAAGCTGTTTCCTGGTATGTTAGCAGGCATGCTATTTTACATTAAATTAGTTTTAATAAATATAGCATTTTACAGTAGACTTTTTTAAAAGTCTGGAAGAATTTTTACAGGAGAGACACAAAATAATTGTGATTATTTCCACTGTGCCAACTTTTTAAATAGGCAGATTTTGTTTTTCTAATTGTCTTGTCTGGTTTCCTCTTTTAAAATACACACTTTTTTTGAGGCAAGTTTGTACTGAGGGAGATAATTTTTTTGTTAACCAAAAGTATTAAGGGATATAGGCAAAAGTGTTGGGGCAATGATCAGCCATGATCTCATTGAGTGGTGGAACGTGCTTGACAGGCTGAATGGCCTATTACTGATACTATGTTACAACAATTCCATAATGTTTAAGATTTTAAGAGACTAGCTACTCCATGTAAAATCAGAGTATAATACAAATAATGGACCAGTTGCTTTTGAATGTTTAAAGACCCCTCCCATACACCAGGAACCAGAGCAAACAGCTATGATTGACTGTCAATTTGATGTTAACAGTCTGGGTAGATAATTTTTTGTAAATATTATTTTGTGCCTATTTATTTATGAGAAACCTTTTAAGAACTTTGCATACATTCCAGTATTATTCAAACCAGAATGAGTTATTTTTCCCACAGTAGACTATTCTTAGTATATTTAAACTGCATTTAGTATATCAGCCATTATTCAATTAGTAACACTGGACAAAGTTGCTTTCCAAGCCCCACTTCAGGGCTTGAGCATAAAACGTTATGCTGATGCATTTGTATGTGCTGATGGTATGTTGCACTGTGGAGGTGCCATCTTTCAGCTGACATGTTAAATCTTGTTAAAGTTGCTGACTAGAATGTGGATGCAAAAGATCCCATGGCGTCGTTTTTGAAGAAGAACAGGGAAGTTATCCCTGGTGTCCTGGTCTATATTTATCCCTGAGTCAACATGGCAAGAAATGAATTATCTGGTCATCATCATCACTACCATCTGTAGGAATTTGCTGTGTGCAAATTGCCAACACATTTCCTACATCACAACAGCAACCATACTTCAAAAGCAATTCATTGACTATAGAATGTTTGAGATGCCTGGTGCTATATAAATGCAAGATATCCCCTCTCTCGTTTTATTTCTCCACTTCTCTAGTATCTTGCGATCTTTTCCTCTGAAATTGTTTTACAAATGCAGGTTGTTGCCGATAAATCATTATATTGAATACTTCTAATTTTATTGCATGTTATTCAGTGCTAATACATAACATTACATAGTTGCCTAGGTTTACACAGCATCCCTATAATTAGATTTTATTTTCATTCATTTGCGGAAAGTTCCCATTCCTTACTTCACTTTAGGATGGTTTTATTGAGCCAACTTCTTGAACTGCTGTAGTTCATATGATGTAGGTATTCCCATAGTACTGAACTGTGGGGAGTTTCATGACTTGACCCAGTGACAATGAAAGACTCACAACGTGGTTCCAAATCAGGGTGGTGTGTAACTTGGAGAGGAGCTTCCAGGCGATAGCATGCCCATGTTGAGAGGGTTGGATTATGAGGAGAGACTGAGTAGACTGGGATTATACTCATCGGAATTCAGAAGAATGAGGGGAGATCTTATAGAAACATATAAGATTATGAAGGGAATAGATAAAGTGGAAGCAGGGAGGTTGTTTCCGCTAGCAGGTGAAACTAGGACTAGAGGGTATCGCCTCAAAATAAAGGGAAGCAGATGTAGGACTGAGGTCAGGAGAAACTTCTTCACCCAAAGTGTTGTGAATCTGTGGAATTCCCTGCCCAGTGAAGCGGTTGAAGCTACCTCACTGAATGTTTTTAAGGCAAGGCTAGATAAATTTTTGAACAGTAAAGGAATTAAGGGTTATGGTGAGTGGGCAGGTAAGTGGAGCTGAGTCTCAAAAAGATCAGCCATGATCTTATTAAATGGCGGGGCAGGCTCCTAGTTCTTATGTTCTTATGTTATGTTCTTGTGTATTACCTTGTTCTTCATAGTACAGATGATGTACTGGAGGAAGGCTTGGTGGACTGCTGTATTGCATCCTCTAGATGAAACTGCACCTACTGTACCTTCATAAAAACTGAAAGAACTGCAGATGCTGTAGATCAGAAACAACAACTGTTGGAAATTGCTGGAAAAGCTCAGCAGGTCTGACAGCAGCTGTGAAGAGAAATCAGACTTAATGTTTTAGGCCTGGTGACAGTTTCTTAGAACTGTGCCTTCATGGTGGAGGAAGTAAACATTTAAGGTAGTAGATGGGGTACCAATCAAGCAGGTTGTTTTTGTTCAGTTTTATAAGTGTTGGTGAATCTGTGCTCATCAAGGCAAGTGGAGAGTATTTCATTGACTGTTGCCTTGCAGAAGCTGGATGGGCTTTGGGGAGTTGGGAGGTGAGTTACTCGCTGTAGAATTCCCAGCCTCAGACTTATTCTAGGCACGGTATTTATGTGACTGGTCCAGTTCAGTTTATAGTCAATAGTTCACCTCTGCCCTGAAAAATAACATGATCTAATCTGAGCAAAAACAATGACTGTTTCCAAATCAAAATCAACAATGTTGATGGAAGGAATGAACCTTCCAGCCAAGGCATGTTGTGACCATTACAATTATTGCTGGAAAAGAAAACATATTTAAAAACAGCAAATCAGTTAGTTATGCAGTGAGCTAAAACATTAAAAATTACATTTTGGAGGTAATAGAAACTGTTGAAGTTCCCCTATACATCTAGGATCTGGATACAGCTGCCTTGCAAATTGATGAAACTAAAGGTTACACTTGTGGTTCCAAGGATGACATTAATTTAAAGCAGTCCTATTTCAACTGATCTTCTGATTGAAAATTCTACTTTCACAGGAAAGAATGCCTCTATTTTAGCACCAGTTGACTTCAAGGTGACCAAAGTGAGAATTAGAAACTTTGCACTAGAGGGTTTAAGTGTTCAGTTTTAGTATCTTATGAAATACTAGGGTACTTAAGTCTTCAAGTAGCTGTGATTACCTGACCAGGCAGTACCTGATAAGGAAAACTGTTAAATTCCTCATTGATAAACATGAAATATATAAATCCCACTTCTCCTAATTTCGGCAACACGTCAGCTTGTAATTTTCAGAGAGGTGGAAACATTGTTTGAAAAATATTTTTTCATTTAATAACTCCCCTTTTACTTTTTTTCCTGCAGGATGATGGGTTACCAGAGAATGAGTATCAACTATCGGTGGCTGGAAAGTTGCAGAAACACTTCAACACAGGCCCCAAACCTAGTAATACTTCAGCTGGAGTGTCTGTGATAGCAGTAAGCATCAATAATTATTAATCATTCAAATTATATCCTTGAAATAACAGTATTCATTTTGTAACCAACATGGTTAAAATTCAAAGAAATATTATTTTCTCTTTTTCAATTCCTTCATAAAGTACCTATATCTTTCTTTGCCTATCTACCCACCCCCCAAAATAAAAACAAACATTACAATGCAGTGGAATCCATGGGAACTGTAAATGGTCTCCTGTTTATTTTGTTTTAAAGAATGAAATCTCTGCAACGAGGGATATACAGCAAACAGTGATTTTTGATCATTTAATAAAGTTTCTGTCAGCAAAACAAAATGGATACTGTAAATTCAACACATTAGTGATATTTGTATATTTAGACCTGAAATACAAATGCTCAAATATTTTTTGCAGGGTGCTCATTGAATGGAACAACTCTTCATGATTAGCCTTGATAAGAATTCTGTAGTGCAAGGGAGAAAGATGATGTGGCGCAAAAGTCTATAGAAAGATGAGACAGACTTAAAAAGGACTGCCTTAGTGCAACCTTGATGATAAATGGTTCTGTCATTATATCATGTTGTACTGCACATATTTAATATTCATTCATACTGACAGATCATGAGTTGGAAAGGTTGCAATTACGAAACTTCCTTTAAAAATACACTTGACAATTCCTTCATTTTAAGATACAGAATAACTTTCTGCTGATTTCATTTTATTTCTCTGCACATTTTCATGGTATCAAGTAGCACAGTCTGTGAATTGCTTGCCCAGTGTAGTCTAACTCCTTTTCCCACCCCATCTCAGAAATAATGGCTGGACTAAAAAACCAGTGAAGACACTCGTATTGTTGGAATTTGGACGTCGATAGCAAATAAGTATTTGTGTCATTCAGGATTCCACCTGTGTATATAAAATGTACATATAAAATAGGGAGATTTTAAATCTGGCATGAACATAAATAAGTAGTATAAATTTGGATTGTTTCAATAGTACATCCTTGAAGCACTTCTGTTAATGTTGCAAGGTGTGTTATTCTGATGTTAGCAAAATTTTCCAGACCAGCATATGCACAAAACTGAAAAGTACCAGAAGTAAGACCAGATAAAAAGTTAGCTAAGCTATTTTTGTTCTCCATTCCTCTATAAATCGTGTAATGATTTTTAGCTAAAAATTTAAAAATTATGGAAGTACATCTAAAACTATAATTGTGTTGTAAAATATTTATATATTAGCATACGTAAGTTGAGGAAAAGTATGAATAAAGGAGACATTTTTAAGCGGGCTATGACAAGAATCAATACTTAGGTCTCAGCTGTTTACTTTATATTAAAAACTTAGATGAGGGGATTCAGTGTGACATATCCAGGTCTGCTGCCAACATAAAGTTATATGAGATGGTTAGTGGTGAGGAAGATGCAAAGAAGCTGCAGAGGATTATAGACAGGTTGGGGGAGACGGCTTTGCAAATGGAATACTGTGTGCGCGAAGTTATCTACTTTGGTACAAAAAGATTTTAAAGAAATACATTTTGAATGGTGAGAGACTGAGAAATGTTTGCACAGAGGACTTGTCTGTCCTTGTACATGAATCACAGTAAGTTAATCGGCAGGTACAGGATTGCAGTCTAAGACGAAAGAAACTTTACTACAGTTATAGTAACAAGCCCACACTTGGATTGTGTGTAGCTTTGGTCTCTTTGCCTAAGGAAAGACTTACATGTGCTAGAGGGACCATAACAAAAGGTTTACTAGCCTGGTTCCTGGATATTAAAACAGTAAGAGGTAAGCTAATTGAAGCATATCAATTCTTAAAGGAATTGCCAGTGTAGATGCTGAGAAAATGCTTCCATTAGCTGAGAAGTCTAGAACACGAAGTCTTAAAATAAGGGGCCGGCCATTTAGGACTGATGTAAGGAGAAACTACTTCATTCAAAGAATTGTGTATCTTGGAAACCTATCCTAAGGAGCTGTGAATGCTCAGTTGTTGATATACTCAAGGCAAAGGTTGATAGATTTTTTGGCACTGAGGAGATATACAAATAGGGCAGGAAGGTGGAAATGAGGTAGAGGATCAGCCACCATCTTATCGAAAGACAGAGCAGGTTTGAAGAGCTAATGGCCAACTTTTGCATCTATTTTAAATGTTCTTATGTCCTTATAACTCATTGAAACTATTCACTATGGTACCATAACGCTTCTTTTAATGTTTTCAGTTTTACTTAAACATTAAGCCTTCGTAATGTAAGTAATGATAGGCTTTCTAAAGAATTAATATAACTCGTTCCAAAGTATAAATAATTATGAAAAATAAAAAAAAACACAGAAATTGGTTCTCATTCACAAGTAATTTCCTGTTGCACCATAGTATGTGTTCAATTCACCTGCATAAGCAGGTAAAATGACCATCACAATAGGCAATTCCTGGCCAGCAGCAACAGAAGATTGATCTCTTTGTACTTCTACATATTAACAAAACAGTGTACCATGTAAGTCATATGTGGATGCCAGCAGGATGTGAAAGATCAAATGTGCTTTTTGCTTTAAAAATTATTTTGTTGTAACTTGTTAGTTCACAAATACAAGAAGTGCAACAAATATCTTGTAATTTCCTTTTGCTGTTCACTTATTTCTTTTAGCATGAATGCTGAGATCCTTTTATGATACCACTCCAAAATGTTGTTCTGATAAAGTATAAACACAAAATGCTGCGGTACATAGCTATTGAAAGGAAAATAGTATGTTAATATTTTAGATTGTGAATCTTTATCCGGTTCTGGTAGAATCAACAGGCTTGCCTTGTATTTCCAGCATTTTGTGTTTATTTCAGATATTCAGCTTTCCTACTTTTTCTTGCTCTGTAATTATTTTAATGTATCAAACTCATTCCTGATACGGCATTCCCATTCTTATCTATTGTTAAGTACTATAGTTATCTATAGTTAAATGCTTTTTGCATGAGTATGTTTGGAAAGCTTTCAAATGGACAGTTGCAGGTTCAGTAAAAGCAACTCCCTCTCTAACAGCACTGGGGGCTTACCAATAGGAAATAGACTGCAATGGTTCATGAAGGCGTCTCACCACCACCTTCTCAAGAGTGACTGCAAAGGGCAATAAATCCTGGCCCAGCCAGTGTTCCTACAAATAAAAGCAAATACTGCAAGAACAGCAAATCTGTTATATCTGGTATAAGCCTGTTGCAGCTTTGCAACACCCAGTATATTGGAATAGAAGAGCTTAAATGATACGAAGACCCAATAATGTACAGCATCGTTGCCCTAGTATAATGGGTCATCAGGAGTATAAAAACTAAATGGAAAATTAATTAAGAGACCATCTGTTATCTAGCTGTCCTTTGGTCTTGACTAACATGGTTACATTGTTTGCTGGACTTATGTAACAACAGCTTATCTATACCTCAAAAGTAATACATTGACTTTGAACCTATTTGGGATATCTTGAGGGTCTGGAGGGTGTTATAGAAAAGTTAGTTATTCATGAAAAGGTCATAATAGAATTTTTGATAATTCACACAAGCACAACTATCTAACAAACAGATGATCTAGTCTTCATTTTTTTTGGTTGTGGGAGCTTGCTGCGCACAAATACGCTACAGCTTTCTCCTACAATACAACAGTGACTACTTTTCAAAAATAACTATTAGGCTGTAAAGTGTTTTAGGTTGCCCTGAGGCCATTGAAGATGATCTATAAAAGCAAGACTTTCTTTGCCTTTGACAGTCTGCTAATTAATTTTGCATGAAGTTTTGTGGTGTTGATTGGAATAGATAACCATAGCTATAAATTAATTTCCATTTTACTACCAACTAGATTTTTCGAAGCTACTTTTGGCCTTTCTGAGTTAAACATTGTTTCTAACATATATTTTGTTTTCCTACACAAAATATTGTTTAAAAACATTGCTATTCTATAAAGAGAAGTATATATCATTGCACCATTTTCCTTGCAGACATTGTTGCAGCTGTACGGGTTTCTTTGTTTGACAGGGTTAGTAAAAGAATTGAAGGCAAGGGATTAAATCTCCAAACTAGAAACAGCAAGAATTTGATGTATTTTATGAAAGCGGCTCCCATTTGTCGCTTCATTCATTAAAAGCTTTGCCAATGACTGTTAATTAAATTTACATTTCATCAAATTACTTCAACCAGAAGTAGCCTATTTAACCTTGGTTAAAAGTAACCTGTATTTATAATCATATTTACATTGCTTTGTAGTCGGGTTTTTCATTCTTTAATTGATCACTGATTTCTTTGTAGCGGTCATAAATAAAATACTAAATATGACAGTGACAATAAAAAAAATCCTACAATTGAGACTCTTTTAGAAACTCTAATCTACCCTGTGTTACTACAGTTTGATTATAGGCAAGGTCACTAATTTGAGACTTCCACAGCAAAATAGCAGGGTGCAATTCACAAAGCATTTGTGAAAACCCTGTAATTCCATACAATAAAAATGAAATTTAAATTATTCAGTCACCACAGTCAGTAGTTTAAATTATTAATAAACTGAAATGTAGAATATCATCCCCCAAACAAAGCTCCAAAGGACACATGTGGTAATGAAGGAATTTGATTTTTTTTAACAAGTGTAAAACAGCAGCACTGATTAGTCATTTTATCCCATGAGCTTTTGGGTCATTGTCATGAGTTTTATTACTGTTTTCTTAATATCATTTGATTATTGCATATGTAGGCATTATCTAATCCCAAATGTAATCCAAATTGTCTGTCTTCTCGGCAAAATATAAATTTATAAGGTACGACGACACTCCTAATAAATGTTAAATAATCATTTGGGATATTGTGCTGGTAACGTGGTAGTTGATTAATATCTATAAAAATGGGATTGTTCCATGACTATGCCTGCATTGGAGGTGATACAGTATCAACTCAATAAATTGGTTCCTGGGATGACAGGGTTGCCCTATGATGAGAGGCTGAATGAACTTAGACTTACACTATCTGGAGTTTAGAAGAATAATTGTTTATCTCATTGAA